TCGTTTCATATCGTTCCTTTTACCGTCGCAAATTCTGTTCTATAACTTTTACTACTACGCAAAACAATGAAACAACCATTAATGTTATTATGTTTTAAGATATTTAAGGTACACACACACACACACACATCATTTTCTATTAAATTTTTACGAAAATGATTTATTTCTTTTCATACCCGTACCTTGAGTCAAATTTTCAATTAAATTACGAGTACTTCATAACCTATAAATTGAATCTCTATTACGCGAAAATATTTTTGCAACGATGTAACACACGAGCTAAATGGGCCTGCGGAAATTTGTAATCGTTCTTACTTTGAATTTTAAATCAAGTTTCTGCCACAAAGGCAAATAACGGCCAGCGTTTAAAAATATTTTGCAAAATACGAGGGAGTAATCGGTCAACATTAATGAACGGAACGTGACGCAATCGTTACGAAATATTTCGAAACTCGCTGGGTTAACTGAAGATCGACGAAATGACCGTCGTGTCAGACAAATGAAATTAACTAGACGTGATGATTTTTTTTTCTTTTTTTTAATTTGCAAATCCGAGTGAACCAATTGGAAATAATTTGATTTACGACCGAAAGGTACAAAGACCTGACACTTTGCGACGAGGGTGAACTTTTAAATTGGAACAGATCAGGTCACAGCACCTACGCGTATATCTATACAAACCTTGATGCAACCCGTGCGACAATGAAATCGATAATCACGAGGAAGAACTCGTGTGGTTTCCTATCGTTTTCTTTTTCTTCTTTTTTCTTTTTACAAGTAAAAAACTTACTCATTTCCCTGTTCGACAGCTAATTCTTTTGCAATCAGTAACTAATCGGTAGTCGACAACACAGTCGACGAAAATTCACGTCACCTCCTCCCGATACCGAAATACATTCATCGCGTTTCATGGTTACTTGCAGCTATACAGGGTGGGCCAAAAACTTCTTCCCACCTACTTCTTCAAATAAAACATCGAAATGTAAGAAAAAAAAATTAATTTAATTAATTTCGAATTAAATTTAAAATTACGGATTTATTTTAGTAGGAAGCGATTT